CTCAAGCGAAATTTCTGGCTTGATGAACCTCCCTTTAAATTGCAGTAATCAGACAGATAATATCAAACAGAGACACCACGACTGGACAGAGGTACAGATGCACAGGGATTGCTGTGCATGCAAGCCAGATACAGTAGCACCATCAGGAGGTGGGCAGTGTGGGTCATGTAGGTTCCGCTTTGACCAGAACTGTATCCTGACTGAGGCTTGGACTGATCCTGCTACATGGGCTGATCAAATGAGCTCAGAGGGCTGGACCTGGCCTGCAGGCTGAATTTCTGACACCCCTCTCATTGACTGTTGTAACAGCTGGCATGCTGTAGTTTACCTGTACCTGTACCTGTAGTTTGACCCTGGGATGGTATTGGTTTGAACTGCAAATGACTGTATGTGTGAGTGTGTTTGTGGCAAGTTTGGAAGAGCTCAGCTATTCCAGTTTCCTAACCATCTGGGCTCACGCTGTTCACTTCTGGATCTTGACTCAAAGGCTGTATTCCCCAGTCAGAGAGTGTGTTGGGTCCAGAGTTTCAGGTAATTACTCTTTCAATCGTATATCATTTGGGGACGTCAGAGTGTGGAGCTTGATTGATTGAGAGTTGTCAGACACAATGTGGATTGCCATCAGGTCTGTACGCCCATATGGGGTTTTCAGTGACAATACAGCTGATTGTCTGGCCTTGGGCAAATGGTTGCAAGAAACTAAAATGACTCCTTGTTCATGTTTCTGCAAGAGTGGTGACAATGTAACAGAACTCATAGTCTGTCACAGTAATGAGTGTTTCAATGATATCACTCCCCTGCTCTCTCAGCCAGCTGTCTTCCCCAAGAGTCACAGTGGTTTATCAGGATAAAGCTCATCCTCCTTTCTGTTGTCTTACCATTTTTGGGATGCCCCCCCCAGCAATACTGGTCCCCACTTATACAGCTGGGTGGACAGGAGCACCTGGGGCAAAGTCACTCAGGAGAACAACAGCAAGAGGCTCCAGCAGAGACTTGAACCTGCAACCTGTCAGTGACAAGGCCAAAGACTTATTCACCACACCGCAGAAGATTCAGTGAAGGCTTAGTTTCTGTGAGGAAAACTAAGATTACATGCGCGTGACAAATTGTGACAACACATTGCCTTGTAAAAATGATCCTTAGATGACAAAACACTGAATGACACAGGTTCTGACCCTGGAGGGGCGCACACTTCTCCAGAGCTGGGCCCTTCCATACTTCCTAAAAATATAGCTGTGGTCATCCATCTGGGAGGCCTCTTCATTCCTCTCACACCACCGGAAAGACAAAATTAGACACATCCACCACACTAAATCAGAGACAAACTGAGGCACGCGGGAGGTTGTACAGGAAACTGGAAGAACTGAAATCCCTGTACCTACATAAGGAGCGAATTATTATAATATAAGGTCATATATAATGATAATAATGTATCAGGTCTGTTTCTACTGTGTTTCGGCCCTTTCAAAGGTTTTACCAAGTTTTTAAAGTCCTCAAACCTCTAAATAAACTCAGAAAGTGTACCTAAATGTTTCCTGTCTTTGTAGGCAGTTATTTCTGGTTCTGGTCTGAGCCTTGGAAGCTCATTCTCTTGTCAAACACTGCCGGTCAGGGGAGGTGAAAAAGGCTTGTTTACGTTGAAGCAATTGTTTCCTTGCCATGTGCTGTGTAAACAACCTGCAGAAAACAGAGGAGGAAAGGTCCATTCAAATAGTCATGTCAGGACACACTGGATAGCGAACTCTGTGCCAGTACTAGAAACTGTTTTTCAGCACTGTTGTCAAAGCTTGATTATCAGGGCGGCTTCAAGGCCAAAACTTGGCACCTTGGGCAGATTTTACATTTCTGCATTAGACACCCCAAAGTGTTAGTCTTTAATAACACTAAGTAACCTGCAAAACTGAGAACTGAAGAGGGTACAGTTTAGAATTTGTATGGGTTCAACTAGAAAATTAAAATTATATTGTCTTGTCATAAGGTGCACTAACCATAGACCAGTTTTCTTCAGCCCATTTCATGGGAGCAAAACAAGAATAAACCGCTGATCCATAATGAAACACTATCTGAAGATTTCTTAATCAAAACATTTCATATGTGAGGTGTTGTTAACATAAGAACTCTGTATATGAAGGCAATACCCTAGTGTCTTATAAGAAACACCTGGAGGATTCCTTATCTGCTTAACAAGCAAGATGGGCCAAATGGCAAGCAAGATGGCGTCTCTCGTTTGTCACCTTTCAAATCACTGATTAGTATTTTGAAAAATGACAAACATTCTCTTCTTGGTACTGTTCTCGTTCTCTCTGGTAGCTTTTCAATGGTTCTTATCTACCATACTTTCACGGGGATTCTTAAATACTTGTTCTACCTGCTCCTTTGTTTCCTGAAAAGACCTGTTTGAGGCCTACAGAAGGCTGAAGGCTCTTTTCTGGCCTTGAGCTGTGATGGGAATAGAAACCACAATCATATAAACCCTGGAGTGAGCCATGAGGGAGGGAGGGGGCACCATTTGGCCAGCGAAAGTGCTTCATGTTTGCCTGCATTACTGCAACATGGCCCTGGTGTGTGCGTGTTTGAGTCTGTGCCCTGTCCAGTGTGTATCCTGCCTTGTGCCCGTGGCTTGCTGGGACAGTCTCTGGCTCTTCGGTGACCCTGTACTGGATAGAGAGGTTAAAAACGGATGGATGGATTCCTGCACTTTTCCCCTATTCTTTTTGGAAGGCCTGTGCTTCAGAGGCCTGCCATGTTCACATAAGAATGGCCTTACTGCACTACATTTCACCCTGAAACCTCAACTCATCAAACACAGCCATACACAGAAACAAACCAAAATATAGACATTCCTGGTTTCACGAGGAATCAACTTTGCGTTTTCATTTCTTAAGTCAATTGTCAGTTTACAGAGCTACAGTTTGTAATTTAAATACAGACACAACTGTCCTTCATCATCAGGCAGATCTTGTATAACTAGCTAGTAGTTAGTGTGGTTTGACGAGGAGCATGAAACTTCAGATTACAATGTACGGTTGTCAGGCTGTTCTGAGTCTCACATGAATTTCTTAGAGCTTTAGTTACACAGGCAGGACTGAGGAGGGTGTGTATGTTGTAGAGACCAGTGACACAGGCTCCTGTGTTAAAGCATGTTGACGGTGAGGGTTTGGTTACGGTTGTAGTCAATGTTGAGCTTTTGCTTAGGCCCTCAGCAGAGCTCATCGCAGCCTCTGGAAGAGAACTAGTCTTCTCTCCTGTTCCCCTAGTGCCAGTCAATTCCAATACAATATTTCCCTTCGTCCATTTACATTGGGATTATTGTTCCTCTGTGCTGAGATGTCTCCTGGTACTTGAATTTGTTTTACATTTCCATAGTGCACAGCAAAAAAAACAGTACGGCTGGAGAGTTACAGGTTAGGTGGGCAGAAAAGGTCAATCCAAGTCATCGAGCACAGTTAAATGGCTCCAGACTAATCTAGTTAACCTTTACACTTGTCTCGGGCTGTTTAACAATCACCTAAAAACTCCTAAGGAAGACGACAGCCAGCACTCACCAGCTTTGTTGAAGAAGGGTGACGGAAGCTGACCAGACCGAAACACGTGACAAACCGATTTCACAAGGCGCACGAAAATGAAAACTACAAAGAAAAAGTACACGCCTGAGCGCCTGAGAAAATGGATGTCTGCAACTTAAATCTGAGCAAGGGAAGAACTTTTCTCGCACTGGAGCAGAGAGGGTTGTGTTCTGTGGGAAGGGAAGTTTGACGAAGTGAAACAGAAGCTTCAGTGAGATACGTGAGCCGATGCTTCCTGGGGGTTGAGGCTGATCTGATGTTACACAACCAGGGAGTGAGCTGATTGGCTGGGAGGGCACAGACCTCTTGCCCCTCCCCCTAGCTCGTAGAAGGCCAAGCTGCCTAGTGTGGCCATGTGCAGCCCTGGGAGGCAAGTGTGATAGTGGGCTGAACGGCCAGTCACGCCATTCCAAGCAGGTGTGTCAAGATCAGGGTCTCCCTTCAGGGCTGTCAGCTCCCCGAGATCAGCTTTCACCAGAAGTGAATGACTGCGTGTCCTGAGGATTCTTTTTTTAATGCTAGCCGCTTTAGAGCTAGGAAAACTGGCTAAGCATCTCATTAGTGAAATTAAATTCCTACAGAAACGACGGTATGTCCAGAACTGGGCCGCCTAAGTGCTGATCACGAATAAAACATTCCAACATATTTCTCCTGTGTTGTTGTGAAACCTTTAGTGGTTATCAGTCTCTTACGTGATTGACTTTAAAAATCTGTCTGACTTGATGGGTGTTGTATGGGCTGTGTCCTCTTTTCCTTCAAGAGTTATCTTTCCTACACTCATCCTGGCTCACTCCCTTCATTTGGGTGTAATTTTCTATACCTTGCCTATAAACTCATGTTTTCAATAGCCTTTAATTTTTAGTCTATTTCTTTTAACTGCTCAATTCTATCTATTTTGTTATACATTCCTTACACTGTCCTGGTCTTTATTGTATAGTTTATGTAAAGTGACTTGACAGTGCTCTGTATTAAAAGGCCATACTGTATATATGCAATCGATTGATTGAGTAATTAGTACCATCACACATTAAGCTTGTGGATGGACTGAGAACATGGATTGAAGACAGGAGGTTGCAGCTGTTCCTGTCTGCCCTGGGGTCCTTGAGGACTTCTGATCAGTTTCATGCTGCAACGCAGAGGACAGTGCTTTGTGAAACACAGAGAGCAGGTCTTTCATTCACAGCTCTGAATCATGACAGGGGCTTCTCAGAGGGACGCAGTGGTTAAAAACCAGGTTGCAACACTATGACTGCAGTTTCAGGTTTGCACCTGGTCACTGCACACCCAAAACAGCTCGGGAAGATTTCCATTCAAGCCAGAGCAGCTGTTTGGAGCCCCTCATCTCAGTTCAGTCTGCTCCTCCCGCCGTTAGCCGGTAGAGAATTACAGTGAACCCAATCCCAGGGAATGTTCAATACTGCTCTAAATCAGGCTTTATTTTCACTCCCAAACACCACAACCCCTTGGAAAAACAGTCAAACATGAGACACGCTCTCAAGAGGTATACTGTCGATTTTCTGTTTTGGAAACACATAACATAAACAGGTTTTGACAGTCGTTGAAAAGTGTACAGGTTTTACCTCAGGCTCAGTTGTTAACAATAATGTCTGTCCCAGATTTCAGGTTTAGCCCCAGGTCCTTTAAAAAAGGCACAAAACTGGATGATGCATATCAGGGCTCACTGTAGTTAAAGCTGTGTTCTGGAAGTCTGGATGTTGCAGTTTCCTGAGAAGGAATGAATATTGCATTAAGCAATACATTACTAAATTAATTAAAAACTCAAATACCGCAAATACCAAACCAAGCACAGCACTTAATGGTGGTTAGAAGCAAGAAGACTTTGGCATTCTGCATTATGCAAGGCAGTACTGTTTTTACTGTATAAGATTAGTGATCCAGGCTGGCTGGACTGCAGCCCATCCCTGGCATGGAAGCTGCATGCCAGACTCCTGGGAAGTGGGTTTTTGCTGGGATTCTTTTGGAAGTATTGTGGAATCACAGCCCACGCCACTTCACATGGGTCCATGTTTAGTGATCTCCAGGGCAATTTTTATGCCACAACATATTTTCTGTATTTTGCCTTTGCACGGAGTGCTGGTTTCATTGAAATGATTTCCCTTTTGATAGCTTTCCATCTATTATATAGACCGACATAAGTCTTCCATTGAGAATCTTGCTGTATCAGAACACAGGCTGCCACAGGCTTATGGACAATTCTGAGAGGGCAAGGATGAGCCTTCTTTTTGAATAAGCTAATATTCACACCTTGCAGGTGAACTGCCAGAAGTCTAGTAATAATTGTAATATTTTTATATGTATAAACATCATTTTATGTTACTGAATAAAGCCAGTTATTAAAATAATGGGCTACTTCTTTTTATTACCTTGTGGCCACAAGAAGTACTTCTTCTTGTCTGGCCTACCGTAATTCTACTGCTACTATTTGTTCTATTATAGACTGTCTTCTAAGCAGTTCAGGTATCTGTGTCAGCATGCGTAGGCTGCAAAGGAGTGTGAGGGAAGGCTCCACAGCCAAAACGTTGTGTTTTCTTTCTTCTCTTTTCAGCATGGAATAAACCTATGACTTGTGTCTTCTAAGTACTCAGCCTGCTTGAAAGGTTGAAATGGGTGTGACTCCAGAGTTTCAGGTAATTACACTACCCTTCCTTAATACTAAGATACCGCTTTATAAAATGCACCTTCATATATTTCCAGACAAAAGTGGAAATATGGAATTATAATTTCCTTTCTGACTGGCTGCTGAGCATCAGTTGTATGTTTTTGTGTTGCAGTGTTTACTGTCAGGTGGCCATTCATAGCAGTTCATCTAAGAAGTTCACTTCCAGCATTTTACCTGTATTGTCGCTAGAATGAAAT